GTTTAGGAGAAATGATGGTCCAAATTAAAGCAATTTTGGTATAAATGGGCTATATTAAAAAAATTATGTTGGAGAAAATATTCATGAGAATTAATCATATGAGGGCAAAGGATAACTTGGAGAAAAAAAATTACCTGAATTGTGAACCTGAGATAACCGCTGATAAAAAAGGAATTCATTGCAGGAGGGATATTTAGTAGGTTTTGTGTTAAATCTGTTGAATTTGAAGTATCCTTTAGACATCCAAATGAATGTGTCCAGAGAGTTAGAATTTTGGGATTGGGGCTCAGATTGGGACTGAAGATAAATATTTGGAAGTCATCAGTATAGTAAAGAAAGGTTAAATTTCAGAAGTGGAAGTTTGCCTGTAGGGAGAGGGTACAGCATGGAAGAAGAAATGGCCCAGGACAGAGCCTTGCAGTTGAATAATAGCCAGGAAAGAGACTGAGAAAGAGCCGTCTGAGATAGAAGGACCACACTGCAGAGCTAAGAAAGGACGTTATTCAAGAAGGAACAGATGTTTAGAAAGAATGTTCAAAGAGACATTAAGTCTTGGCCATAGAGAAGTCACCAGGGACCTTTTGAGAAGGCAGTTTCTAGGGAATGAGAGGCAGGAATGAGATCCTAGTGGTTGGGGCTTGGATGGGAGGCAAGGAAGTATAAATGGAGTACAAAAGCTGCTCTTGGGAAAGACTTTGTAGTAAAGGAAAGAAGAGAAATGTCGCTTGAAGGGAAGAAACTTCTATTTGTATAGCTTATTAGTTTGCAAAGTACTTTTATATCCATTGGCTCACGTAGTTTCTAAGACAACTCTAGGAGGTGGGAAGGGCAAGTATTGATACTCCTGGGAACAAACTGGGGTTGAAAAGAAGTAAGAAGCCTTGCCCAAGGTCATTTATAGCAAATGAATGGAAGAACTGAGTTTAGAATTCAAATCATTTGACTCAATCCAACGATCTTTCCACGGTGCCAAAACAGAACGTTTCTAAAGAGTTTGCTCTCTTTGGATATTGGATACTGGAGGGCATTGAGCTCTTGGTTAAGGGATTTTGACCTTATCCAGAGGACAATGGGGAGCTACTGGAAGGTTTTATGCTAGGGAATCCTATGTTTAGTCAGTTCCTGATGGAAACAGATCTGACAGTGAGGTGTAGGATGTGTTAGTGGAACAGACACCTCAGGAGGGCAGACGTGGCTTCAAGCCGGGGCACAGCTTTAAATAAACATCCAATGCTGAGAAGGTTGTTTCCCTTTCAGTTCTCCAGACCCTCTTCTGTAGTGTTTGGAAGAAGGACTCAGTTTGCCAGTGTATTTTTAACATCCCTCAAATACTCTTTAATCTCTTTTTTGAACAAAGAGAGAACAGGCCTTAGACTGAGAACATTTGGAAATGACTGTCTTCCTAGAACTGGATTACATTGCTTTGGGTTCACTCTGTTTTTATGATTTCTCTCTACTTATGACAAGTAGTACTGATTTCTCGTTTATTATAATTATAGAAAGTTTACTATTAAATACATTTAAGTAAAAAAGTCAAAGAAAAATATTATCAATTCTATGACAAGTGGTACACGTATATGGGAAAAAGCTATAAATGCATATTCTAATGACTAAAATTTGGGAAATTCTGCTCTTGGA